CAAATCACCCCAGAACCCCAACACAGAGCTCCCCCTCCCCAAATCACCCCAGAACCCCCAACACAGAGCTTCCCCTCCCCAAATCACCCCAGAACTGCGAGGGGACCCCCCGGAACCCCCCAATAAAGAGCTCCTCCCCCTCCCACAGCTGTCGAGGGGTGTCTGGGGGGGGAGGGGCTGGAGGGGGGGGGGCGGGCTGGTGGGGGAGGGGCGGGAGGGGGAGGGGCGGGAGGGGGAGGGGCTGGGGAAGGGTCTGAGACCTTCCCCTTGGGAGGGGAGGGGGAATGAGGAAGGGGGAGTCCCTTGGGCCTTCCTCATCTTCATCCTCATCATCCTCATCTCCTTCATCCTTATCCTCGTCATCCTCCTTCCTCATCCTTCCTCATCCTCTTCATCCTCATCATCATCATCCTCCTTATCTTCATCCTCATCATTCTCCTTGTCTTCATCCTCATCTTCATCATCCTCCTTCCTCATCATCTTCATCCTCATCCTCCCTCCTCATCCTCATCTCCATCATCCTCATTTTCATCTTCTTCATCCTCATCATCCTCCATCCTGATCTTCATCCTCATTCTCCTTCCTCATCTTCATCCTCATCTTCATCCTCATCCTCCTTCCTCATCTTCATCCTTCTCCTCCTTCCTCTTCCTCATCCTCACCCCCCCTTTCACAGTTCGGTCTTCATCTTCATCCCCTTTTCCACCTTCCTCATCCTCATCTTCTTCATCCTCTCCTTCCTTCCTCATCCTCACCCCCCCCTTCACGGCTCCGTTCTCATCTTCATCCCTTTTCACCATCCTCATCCTCCTCCTTCCTCATCCTCATCATCCTCCTTCATCCTCATCATCTTCCTCATCCTCATCTTCATCCTCACCTTCCTCATCCTCATCATCCTCCTCCCCCTTCCTCATCCTCACCCCCCTTTTAACGGCTCCATCCTCATCTTCATCCCCTTTTCACCATCCTCATCCTCCTCCATCTTCATCCTCATCTTCCTCCTTCATCCTCATCTTCATCCTCATCCTCCTCCCCTCCTTCCTCATCCTCACCCCCTTCCACAGCTCTGTCTTCATCTTCATCCCCTTTTTCACCATCCTCATCCTCATTTTCGTCCTCCTTCCTTCCTCATCTTCATCCTTCTCCTCCCCCTTCCTCATCCTCATCTCCTTCATCCTCCTTCCTCATCCTCCTCCTTCCCCTCCCCCTTCCTCATCCTCACCCCCCTTTTAACGGCTCCATCTTCATCTTCATCCCCTTTTCACCACCCTCATCCTCCTCCCTCTTCATCCTCATCCTCCTTCATCCTCATCTTCATCCTCATCTTCATCCTCATCCCCCTCCTTCATCTTCATCCTCATCCTCCTCCTTCATCTTCATCCTCATCCTCATCTTCATCTTCATCCTCATCCTCCTCCTTCATCCTCATCTTCCTCCTCTCCTTCCTTCCTCATCCTCACCCCCCCTTTTAACGGCTCCATCCTCATCCTCACCTCCTTCATCCTCGTTTTCCTCCTCCCCCTCCTTCCTCATCCTCACCCCCCCTTTCACAGCTCCGTCTTCATCTTCATCCCCTTTTCCACCATCCTCATCCTCCTCCCTCTTCATCCTCATCATCCTCCTTCATCCTCATCTTCATCCTCATCCTCATCTTCATCCTCATCCTCCTCCTTCATCCCCATCTTCCTCCTCTCCTTCCTCATCCTCACCCCCCTTTTAACGGCTCCATCCTCATCCTCCTCCATCTCCATCTTCCTCCTTCATCCTCATCTTCATCTTCATCCTCATCCTCCTCCTTCATCCTCATCATCCTCCTTCCTCATCTTCATCTCCTTCATCCTCATCCTCACCCCCCTTTTAACGGCTCCATCCTCATCCTCTCCCTCCTTCCTCCTCCTCCTCCTCCTCCTCTC